CCACCAGATTTTTTTACACCCTGGATTAGTCGAAAGTGCAGAAATTGTTGCGCAATTATGCTTGGTGTACGTGTTATAATAGAATCTTAATGTAATTCGAGTAAAAAAACATGAATTATTAAAAAAACTATTTATTTGTGATGAATATTAGGGATTACGTCAGATTTGTTTTAAACAGTAATGAAAAAGAAAAGTGCTATACCACACACAATGTTGACTACATGATGAGACGGGAGTGAAAGGAAAAAAATAATTAATAAAAAAACAAACAATTTTCATAACTTTACAGGCAAAATTTTTGTAAAATTGTATATCTGCCCTTTCTAACCTGATACATCCTGACTGAAATGGAAACTTTAAAAAAAATCTTTCAGTTTCTTGGCACTTGTCATGATGATTACTGTCTCTATCATGGCACTGTACAGCACCAACCATACCATAACTCTTTTTTCCTCTGTGCTGAGTAACAAAGGCTGAAGATGAAAAAAAAAACCTCTGAAAAAGGCTGAAAGGACTGTGTGTAAAAATTACAACTTGAATTATCCCTACACCCTTTTAAATACAGTCAAACCTTATTATACGGCCCCCTTTTAACCACCAGCCTCCAATTACCACCAGGTCTTGCTAATATACACGTAAAGAAATGCCTAATAAACAGAGTATAATTTGGACCGTTACACCGCCATCCGCTAAAAGTCTTAGTTGTACGGTCCTTATTAAATTAACTAATGTAAATTTGCCCTGTTTCACTGCCAACAGATTTATTAGCTGCCACAGCTACTCACATACTAAGCATGGCACACATCCGGAGCTGCTTGAAAATCACACGTCTGTGGGAGTTCAGCTTATATGTAGTGTTTTTCTGCCGAGTGGCTCCTCATTTGTGCTGATTTAACTGATGATAAAATATAGAAAAAAAGAGAGAAAAAGAAATTGGAATAATTTTTTTTAACTGCCTGGAAAAAGAAACTTCAAAGGAACTGTCACGACTTCGGCCTTGTTGGTAAAATATTTTGGCATCACCAAATATCAGAACTGTGACGGAAGGGCTGGCTTTTATATTGAGAGGACTCAGGCTCAAGTATATTTGAAAGGTCTGAGGCTGCTCAAGGACTGATGAGTATCAGGTGCAAAATAATTTAATTAAAGTCTACAGGGTCCTTGACACATAAAGCCTCGCTTCAAATCCAGCTGAAATTTTCAATCTGAATTGGCTTAAAGTTCAGCTTGCACTGTACATGTATGTATGTAATTGGTTGCTACTCATTTTTCCCCTTTGCATGGAAAATGCGAAAGATAAATTTGTATAAAAATGAGTCAAAGACTGGCGACAGCTTGTCTCTAGTCCCTACTAGTCTACCAATAGTCAAGATGGCAACTGGTGCTAACTCGTTAAACCACCAGCCCTGCTGTATTGCCAGTTTTATGCTTGTGCCAAGGTAGTCAGTATAATGGGGTTTGACTGTGAATAATGCTAGTTCAACTTGCAAGTTCACCATAGGGTATTTTTTATAGGATAACTATGGCTGCTCTGTTGACTGCACTGTTAATTTCCAATGCCTCTCCATGACATTATTGTATCCTTTGCTGTTTCTGCTCATTCTCTAGCTTCTTATAACACTCTTATAACATTACTATTTTCCCATAGTATTCTGTAGGCCTATTTAAATATTTCATCATTTATGTTATTTATGTTCACTCTTTGATTTTGATAAATTTGTTTTGCATAGAGGAGATATCGGTGTGTCAAATTAATGAAAACAATCTGAACTTCTAATTTATGTTATTAAAATATCAAGACAATGATGTGCAATCTCCTAAATATATTTTTTTTAAAATACTGGTTTCTAAAGCAAATGTTTTTAATTTTTAAATTGCAATCCACAGTTCTTGCTGATGCACATTTTCCAACAGCTTCTATTTGTAAAAGTGGCCCTCAAGAAGTGAGAGCAGATGGTGAGATATATATGTTTTGCTTTTTAAATCTGTTTTATTAGAGGTGCATAATGATTCGAAAGAGTAGCTATCGGTATTGAGTCCTGCCTGCATTACATAGAATGACAGAATAAAATGGTTTGGCCACCTGTTACGTATGTCACCTGGCCAACCAGCCTCGAGAGCCTACTACACAAAGCACTCTGACTATAAAGGAAGATGAAGGTCACGCAAAACGTGGATCGAAGGTGTCAAGGAAACCCTGAGAAAACATAATATCACAACTGAAAGAGCTGTGGAGCTGGCCTACCGTAGAAAACTGCATCTCCCCTCAAGGCTTAACGGCAACAGAGGATGAAAAAGTAAAGTAAAGTAAGCCTAATGGTTTGGCCTCTTTTATTGCTGTTGTCGTTCACAGTTTAGTCTTTTGTAAGAACCAATTGTTCTTTGCTCCTTAGATGCCAAGAAAATGCTTCACTCAGAACGGTGATTTTATTTATCATTGTTGTGCAAGAAGGTGCATAGTCGAAATTGTCTAAGATAGCAGGGGCTCTCGTGGTGTAGATGTGCAGTATTCACCTTTCATTCAATTGGTCCCACGTTTGAAACCTGACAGTGACGGAAACATTTTCTTTTCTAAAATTTTATTCTCTCACATTTTTTGCGGTTCACTAAACATATAATTAGTTTTCTGCTTTAAATTTCACTTCCAGGTAGAAGTTTTGGACTTTGTCTTTTTTTTTTATTTAAAGAATAAAATATACAAGAGGGGAAGTGGGAAGTTGTCATTTGTACAGGTGATTGTCTTGGATAGGTGGCCGTTACAGCAGGTTTGACTGTATAGAATGATTATAACAGAACATTTGTTAGATAATCTAGGCATTTGTATTTTATCATAGAGTTTTGTGGTATTTTTAAGAAAGCATGAAACCAATGGGGTTGAACTTGCAGGATATGAATTGAAATCACCGCCATCCTCTTTGATTAGTCTGGTAAATTGTCAAGCACTCTATCTCTTTTTGACATGAATCATTACTACTAAAACTGATGAATGAGTTTTTTGAGACTTGATAGCCCAGTGACGTACATATTAATCTTCATTTATCCATGCCTTACAGCTTCTAGACATTTCTTCTTTAAAAAAAATATGTCCAGGATGAAATTTTTTCCAGTTTCCTTGCTATGCAGCTTTGGGTTGGTTGAGCTTTATCAAATTGCTCTTCATTAGGCCAGTGTCATTATACAATTGCCCTTATAAATAAATTTCTGGCGGTTTTCAAATAAAGACATTATACGAATAAAAATATCGTCAAGAGGCATTATTTTACAGAAAAGTTTGGTTCTGTTTCATTGTCACCCTTCCAGTTTTAAATATATTGAGAGCCTAAGTTAGGTTTTAAAATTTTTTTCTCAAATCATAAAAATATGACCTAGGTGCATTTAAGATGAAACAAACGATTACTAAAATTGCCATTAATATTGAGTCATTTTTGTTCCTTTTTATTTGTCTTACAGGCTTGCGTGCTACAGATTTGCTGAAAGGTGTTATGCAACTTCTTCCATTAGACCAGTATGAAAAATACCCGGTAGGTCCACCTGTTGCTCAGATTTCAGAATTCTTTTGTTATCATATACTATGAAATATAGATAGGGGCCTGTCTTTGTCCAAGAGTAAGAAATGAAGCATACTTAATGGCTTCACCTACAGATTTAATTGTTTTCCATGACAAATTTCTGTTGTAGAATAATCGATTTTGAAAGTTGCAATTATAGTATCTGAGTTAATTTGAAGCTTCCTTTGAGGGTGTAATTAAATTTATGATAAAAAAGTGAGAGGTGTTTTCAGTAATGGGCATTTTTAAAGTGAATTTCTGGAGGAAAAAGGATGTTCAAAACTTTTTTCTTTTATGCCATGTATCATTTCTTTTTCTTTTCTGGTTGATGAACATAACCGAAAGAGTCCCATGAATATTAAACTTTTGTATGCCAAGGGGGATCCTATTAGTTTATCTGTGTGTTGTCGGTGACGAACTCTGGGACATAAAAGGAATCTTTTTGGGGCTCAGGATGATTCCTGATCATCTCCTCATTATTGATTGGTTCTGACAGTAACTTTATTTTTATATATATATAACCATCTTAAAGCCTGTCTATTTGCCTTACTTTTGATAGAAAAAGTATTCATATATCTTGGATACAAGTGAAGATATTGGTGATTGAAGGAGGTGGGGGGCGGCTGGTTTGAGAGATAAAATTAGCGAACAAATGGCCACCAAAGTTGAGTTATTTCCCTAGCTTGAGAGTCGGTGGAAGCTAAAAATGTACATCTTTTGTGCTTTTAATTAACATTTTTCAGTATTAACCACACAGAGAAATATCCTTTAAAGGGCATGAAAGATGTTGAGCCAAAAAAACAAAATTTGATTAACATTCCCAAAACTGCGGAAAAATGCCTATTTCTTGACTTTCATTATTTTGACGAGTGTCTGATTTCACTATGCCGCCTCACATATTAGGCCTATCCGTACGCCCTGGGGTCATTTTGTACCTCCGGGGTTGTATTCTTCACATTTTTAGAATACTTCTAGTACGAAGATCTCTTTGAAACTTTCAGAATTTCTCAAGAAATCATTTTGATAGACTGCTGTGCAAAGCGTATGGATCGGATAAACAAGTTAATTTCTTCTTTGGAAGTGGTGGCACAGAATTCCCCATGTTCTTTTGATACGATAGTAAAACACAATGTTTGGATAGGGTTAATAATGCTTAGTTTATATAGCAAAATAGGCCTACTCCATTCTCAATGAAAACTTGAATAACAAACATGTTGTATGTTTTCCCATAGGTTGCCAGAATGGATCTTGTGCCATCAGACAAAGAGGCAGGTCTGAAAACGCCCATATGGGATGCCTATCAGCAGATCCTGAATGAAGCTGAAAAAACACAGGTTCCATTTTTTAGAAGTATTTCCTCTCAGTAGGGGTCAGCAACCTTTTCAGCCAAGCAGGCTACAATGGAACTCAGAGAAGGCCCTCTTGAAAATAGCGGTACATATAATGACAACGACAACTCAATGACAGTGTAACTGATCTTGATTTTTTACAAAATCAGCTTTGGTCATGTGGGTAATTGGTGGGTGTTCTTGTGTGGTTTGTTCCTTCCTAGGCAGAACGTTACAATGATTAAGTACAGGGGCATTAGTCTGGACAGAAACCCTCATAGGGCCAGAACCGGCCTGAAGGTTGGAGACCCCTGCTCCACTTAAAACAGAATCGGAGGACGGATTACAATTTAACTTTTTTTAATGATGGGAAAATGTATTATCAGGACTTCATTGTTTCCTATGGGCATAATATAATTCCTCAAAGGCAGTGGTGTGGCTCTCCAAGCGCAAATGCCGCCACCCTTTGAAATGGAGAAGGGATTTTTGAAAATGGGAATACGATTTTCCAAAACTTAACAAAATACTACAATATTCTCTTCAAACAAATCTCTTATTCAGTGTTCATCCCCAAGTACGCCAGTCTTTAGTTAAGGTGTCTATAATTAGACGGGAGGAGGGTGGGTAAGCCTTCCTTTGCCGGTCGCAAGGGTCTCCCAGCGTCTTTCGTTCCCTACGTCTGACGTCACTGAGGGCGCCGAGCCCAGATCTGTGCTACCTGAACCAGTGTCTATGCTTGATCCCATCTGGGTGTTCATTGTTTAGGTGTGAACCCTGGTCAAAATAATTCAAAATGATCTATAAACTATTTGAGTCAATCAGTTGAAAACAGGGTTTTCTTTCCAAGAATAGCAAAAAAGTTTCTTTCATACCCCATCCAGACATTTGACGGAAGACACAAGAGATATCCCCTAGAACATAACTCAGCCAGAAATGCTACAACAGGTACTCCCATCACACTAGAGATGTACTGTTGGGTCAAAGGGCCAAGATGGATTTGGCGCCTGTATGGTAGAGAGGGGATGGAGTGGTTACGAACTATCTAAAAATAGGTTTGACTGTCTGCTTTCTAGAAACCAGAGCTGCAAGTGAATCAGGGAATGGGGTCATTATGTCAAGACGCCCCGAGGGTAAAAGTGCATGCGTGTTCTTGACTGTGAATGTGTGCTTTTCTGTTGATCTGTGGGAAGTTATTGTTTTGTGCGTGATTATGATGTGATGTGATTGTGCGCGATTATGATGTGATGTGATTGTGCGCAACTTGAGCGCCGAACTTGGTTCTTTATCATCAGATCTCTCTCTGTATATAAAAGATTGTACCGGCACTTATCTATTCTTCTCGCATGAAAGTAGGTGTCCCTGTTTCAGTATTAAAATTAAACGAAGAGGCGTATATAGTAGGTCTACAGTTTATAGGCCTTTAATAAGTAGGCAATACTATTCGATGTGCATAAATTTGTTCTTGGCGCCACCTTCTCTGGAAATGACGCCATGCCCCTGCTCAAAGGTAATCTTTGAAATTCTGTACTGTCTACCCTTTTTATATTGTTCCACCAACTGCACACAAGTTGTAAAGGTGGCAGTTTCAAGAATAAGATGAAAATGTTTAAAAGCAGATTAATCATCGTATATATTACTACTGCAGATCAGAGTTTTAATATGGTGATAAAAAGCCTTGCGTTAAACTTTTAAAGACCTTTCTTTTTCAGTGTTATTGATTTTAAAGGTTGTAGTATCATTATCTTAAACTATATTGTGATTTCTGAAGTGAGTAAAAGAAACCGCATTTTAAATCCGCCAGTTTCCCCTATCATATTATGGAATATCCAGCTGATAATCGGAGGGCACCCTGGAAAGTCATATATTTTCTTTCCCTCTGTGGTTTATGTTTGTCTACCTTACCTTTTCCTTGCTTAGTGAATGCTATTGTGTTGATGTACAGTTAAGACCTGCTCTAATTGTAACTGCCACCTGTCAATGACAGTCACTTGTACTTGTAAATGACCCCTTCCCAGTTCTCCCCTTGCATTAAGAAAAATTATAATAACACTGCCCAAGAAGTCCACCTGTCTAAGACAACCACTTTTCACTTGATAATGGGTGGCTGTCTTGGACAATGTTGACTGTACTTCTCATTCTCTTGAATGAAATTAAATTGAACTTACTTTTTTTTTTTCACTTCTTTCTGCTTGTGAAAAGATATGACCTATGCAGCCAGTTGTTTACTCTCCTGAAGCCTAGACCAAACTGAGTGGCATTATACATACAGCTACAGTCAAAACTGTTTAAGACGGTCACCCGTTGTCCAGGAGAAAAGTGGTTGTCTTAAACAAGTGAATGTCTTGGACAGTGCCATTATAGTATTTAAAAAGTGCAATGGAGATTTGGGGGAAGGGGTGAGTGGGAAATGGTGGTTTGTACAGGAAATTATCTTGGACGGGTTGTTGTTACAGCAAGTTTCCCCCCCGGGGCAGTGCCACTGACTGTAGTGTCTTTAGGCCATTCCCAAAGGGGAGACATTTCTCGTTCAAGCACAGTAGAATTGTAAATGGGCTGATTCATGTCATGCTCATAACTGTGCCTGATCTACAACAGGGAAAAGCTGCTTTTTCTTTCCTAATCCTTACTATTGTCCTATTCCTCTACTTCTTTTGTATGTTTGTCACTCTCTTGTGATTGTGACCTGCTATTTCCGGGGTGCCTTGATAGCTGAAGCAGACCTTGTGCTGTTGAAGCTAGAGAGGTGAGCAGAGTAAGTCTGATTCCCTGTAAAGACTTCTCTGTTGACACCCACCCCTTGGGGGTCATATGACCTTATGCAATTGTGAGCGCCTTAAAACCCTCAACAACAAAAAAAGCAGGTTTGTGGGTGGTTGGTGGGTGCTCTGGTATGGTTTGCTGCTCCTTCTTTTTGATCAAACATCTATCGTCCTTATCTCCCCTCCTTCTATTTTGTATTTGTTACTCTCTTGTAACACCTCTAATCTTCGGCACTTATATGAGCTTATTGTGTTGCAAGTGCCGTAAAACTCTTACTAAAACAAAAGAGCTGGTTCGACTGTATTTTGCACTGTAATTACAGTATAACACAGGTATCTTGAATTTGTCGGGACCGGCCTCGGTGATCAGTGTTATGGCATCGGCTATGTCAGAGAATCAAGGGAAACAACAAAGATTGCTACTTTAGGGGCAAAACAATGATGAGCAACGATTTCGAGTTTGATCGGTAATGAGCCTACTGGTACCAAGACGGTTTATTTGTGCAGGTCAATGTGAGCGGTCTTTTGTCTGCCCCAATCGAACAGTGCCTTTTCAAATTTTCCAAAACATCAGCAATTTGATAGGATAAACTTTAAGCAACAGTAATCAACAACATGATGGAAACAATGCATTTCTACCCCGCCTCTCCCACAAACGCGCATTCCTTTGCAAAGAGGGGTGGGGAGGCGGATCGTGTGATGCACAACCCTTCCCCTCCTCCGCTCCACACAAGCTTAGATAGGCCTAGGGCTTATAATCATTGGGCATGCATGTGGAGCAGTGCGCTAAAAATAGCACAGCTGGCTGCTTCTGCAGAGGGGGAAGGTGGTATTTTACTGACCTTGCCTTTTTCTGTTGTTTTTAAAAAATTATTATTTTGTCTCAAATGCACTTCAAAGGACATTGACTTTAGACCTCTACAGCGGCGTAATTAGTTTGACTATTCCGCGTTTTTGTTCGAGCTTCGCGTAATTTTCTTACAAAGATAAAGGAGAAAAAAAAATGGGAACACACGCACAGTTCGACGGATGCATGATTTCGGGTCTTCTGTGTTCGACCAATCCGTGTTATACTGTATAGATAATAATATAAATAATGTACTTACACACTTACATTTCTGGGGTTTTTTTCCCTTTTGATTTTAAGGTTTGTTGATTGAAATACTACTGCTTGTTGTTGTAGTGTCGTTGTGCAGTAATGATATTGTGGCTTTTACCAACATATTATTTTCTTTTGGCAAAGACATTTAATGAGTAGAATTTGTATGCACCCACATTGCTTTTATCTTTTTTTTTTGTAGGTCCAAATTGAATATGTGGAGAGATTTGCCTTTTATGAAAGGGCAAAGAAAGCATTTGCTATTGTAGCAACAGGGTAAGTTCAATTAGAGCATAATTTTTATGTTTTATTTTAAATGTTTTATTTCATGAGCATGAGTTTAAAATCGATGTGTATGCTGAAACCACTGCTCATGTCTTTTACATGTTTATGGGTCACAAATTGCAAAACTTAAGCTTTTAGGGGGCTAGCTGTTGATGCTCACTACTATGTGCTCATTCTGATATGATTTGCTTCTTCTTTTTGCTCTCACTGAAGTCATCATCTGTTCCTTGCAAAATCTGTCAGTTAACCACAACAGCTACAGATGAAGTGAACTTGACACAAACATGTTGATCATAAGAAAGTGTTATTAAAAGAATTTGTGCAATTTTCATGGGTAAGCCTGACTGATCGCGGTCTGTAATATGTCGACAATAAAAATTATATGTAAGAAATTAAAACAAAATGAAGTTGATCGTTGGAGTTTAAGAGAGGCAACAGAGAAATGTTATTGTGATGGTGATTTGTTGATGTAAGAGACTTATTTTCAAATGCTTGTTTTATTGCCTGGCTTTTATTAGGAAGAAATTCAAACTGTTCCTGGTTTTCTTGCACATTATGTGAAGTTTTTGTTTTAAATTGGAACGAATCATAATATTTTACTAAATTTAAAAGGTGTTTTGTGCCCTCATTGACACACTTTAGACATTAAAGAGGCAGGCTTTGACCCTACCTGTCAAGGCCAACCAGGGTTGGGATGGATAAAAAGTTCCAGCAAAAAGACAGACACTCCAAAAAATTCTCTGACATGGGAATTGAACTCATGTCTCATGTATGCGAAATCAAAGCACCTAACTGTACACCACAGACGTAGGTCATTAATTTTGTCATATAGTAGGGTTGCTCATTTTACATAAATAGTTTGATTCTTCTTCGAACAATTATGATCAGCAGTCGCAATGGTTGTCTTATTTTATTTTTAGTGTATGTTTTCTTTTGTCAGAACATCCTTGTTGGAACATGTATAGGTGCATGAATGTATTTGAAAGGATTGTTGTACATTCAATGGGATGGTATGCATGAAACACCTCATTATGTCAGCTGTTGAAATTTTATTATTTTAGTACGGTATTATTTTAGGTTTTGTTGAATCCCAGGTTTCAACATGATGTTATTGAAATTGACATTAATAACGATAAATACCTTGAATTTAGATTCAATTTACATTTACATTATACTGACTTTGACAGATACATCTTTATACTATAGTAACATATAAAGACAATGGAGCAATGATGATTTTTTAACAATTCTATATAATATACTTGTATTAGGATATATTATTTTTGTAACTCTCTATCACTGCCTTTATTCTTTTCCTGTTTTCTCAGGGAAACAGAGCAGTATGCCAATATCATTTTGAAGAAAGGATGTCTTGTGTAGAGTTCATGTTTCACACATCCCAGTGTCGGGGAATAATGGCATAGCTGCTGGACTTTGGAGACCTCTTCCTTGAAGACATTCCTGATGGAGACTTTTCAAGTTTGCACTTTAATAGGGAACTGTCATCCTATCTGCATTAATGAAAAATGTGATTTACATTGTGGCAAATCTGTCCTCTGAGTAGTCTGAGAAACAAGAATATTGATAAAATGTGCCTTAGTTCATTAAGTATGGTAATGACAGAAATACGTACTGATACATGTGCATTCAGAGGACAATTTCATTGAAGTCGTTTTATCTAACAGAGGAAACTCCAAAACATGAGCAGCTGTGTAGTGTAACTGTAACTGTTCCGGGCATCATGCATTATCAAATTAAACATGAAAAAGGGTTTTTCCTTTGGTGAAGGAGCAGTTACCGGTAGATAGTACAAACTTTGTGAAAATTTGTGTTTATTGTCAAGAACCCTGGTAAATGGTTGCCCTCATTTTCCTGGATCTATAAAAATCCTCCCAAGTTTGTAAAATAATAAAGCTAATGTATGAAAAACAGAAATTTATGAAGCCTGGCACTAGCATGCCATAGACTGGAGGGAATATAAAATGTCATACTTTGGGATACATGTACTTACTTGTTTTTTTTTCTTCTGAGGAATATTCTTTTGTTGAAAATGGTATTGGTACCTACATACTGATCTCTCATCTCTTTTGAGGAGAAAGTTATGATGAATTGTGGTTGATGTGATCAATGTAGCCAGACTCATTTTTATTATAATTGCAATTGCTGTGGAAGCCATGTCTACCATTGAATATTCTGCTTTTTATTCATCATCATGTTGCTTATGTTTTACAATTATACAGAGAACGATGTGAATTATACTGCGTACTTACAAAAAATGTGCGCTACTAGAGATGCACTACAAAAGATGATGATGGAGAAGCACGTTTTAAAAAAATGTAATTGTCATGAGATGGGATTTACTTTTCTTTTTGTTTTTCAAGAGGTGGGATTTACTTTTATACTTTTTTGCTGTAAAATTAATAATTATGCTTTTTTGATTCTTTGTGAGAGTTTAAGGGGTGATCTCTCAATTTGTTGCAATAAAGTTGCGAAGGTGCTGATTTCTATCAGAATTCACGCTTTTTAGTTTTTTGTTAATTAATTAATTTACCTCTTTAGCGCCTATTGTTGTTATCGATCCAGCAACAGCTGGGCTCTCACCCTTCTTTCCAATGCCATGAAATGATAAGTGCAGGTTTGCTGCTGTTGCTGTTATGTTCCATAGAGTGTGTTGTCAATATTTGGTCTCGGAGGGAGAAGGGTAGCTCTGATGTCATTTAGGGCTGTGCAGTGGAACAGGTGATGATCCACACTCTCATTGTATAGTCACACAAGGGACACATTGGGGGAAGTTCTGGATTTTTTCTGTTCAAGTGGAAGTTGAGCTGTATTATATGATCTGTTCGTAGGCAGAAGATCATGGTCTGTTTCTTTCTCTGTAGGTGGTTGATATTGTCATTCCGTTTTGTTGTGGTCATATGTTTGAAAACTGCTCTGCCTGTCTTTCCAAAGGCCCATCTGATCATCCAGTCTTGTTTGTTGTTGCTTTTAATGATTTGTTTGCAGTGTTGTATGAAGTTGGAATGTTGGGGAGTTCCTGTCTTGATCCCCATTTGGCAAGTGTGTCTGTTCTGTAATTTCCAGGTATGTTTGAGTGTCCGGGAACCCACTACATTACATCATGTACCAAGTTGATGCCACAGATTGTCATCAGATGATGGGAGCCAAACAGTTTTTGTCAGATATTGGTTTAGATGATGGTAATTTTCTATTGCTTGCAAGTCTGATAGTGAGTCAATGAAAATCACAATACTCTGTGCTTTTCCAGGATGAGTATTGAGTGTCAAAAACTGCGGAGATGGTACAGTGCTGTTTCAGTTGCCATAATTTCTCTTCTGCATTACAGTTGCTGCATTTCTCTCCACAGGCTCTCACTGAAACTTCCATCTGGGAACTGTATTAGTATTCCATATCCGGGTTTGATCGTGCCTTTGAATGCTAAGCCATCTGTATAGATGTGTATCCAATTATTTAAATAGCTGTAGATTATTTGAGTCTTATGTGATGCAAGCATCAGCGTCCCTGGGTCTGAAGATTTTGTGCTCGTGTCTCTGAGAGATGTTGTAATGATAGTTTTTTTTTAAGATAGGAGGGAGGGATGTTTTGGTTGACTCTTTAACTTTTGGTTTCTTTTCTGTTTTGTGGTAGATGGTGACTAGAGCTGGAGTTCGCTCGATTAATCGAAGGCTTACGAGCAGGCTTGTGCTTTGCTTTGCCTCCCGCTCGCTTCCGGGGGAACTTCTGGTGTGTTCGCGGACAGTCTTGCCAGGTTGCGAGCATGCAAATCAAATCATATGTCTCAAGTGTCTTGCTGTGCTGCGAGCGGGATTTGAGACTTGATGGCCGTCCTCTGCTTGCAGGCCTTTGTGATTAATCGAACAGACTCCAGCTCTAGTGTCCCGCCGCGCAGTGACTCTGTGAGCGGGGTCTCTCTCTCTCTTTCTGACGTAAGTGGCTTCGCGGATTGCAAGCAGGGTGGTGGGAGGGGGGGTCTGACACGAGTGGCTTTGCAGATTGCTAGTTGGTGTGGACTTGAAGCTTAGACTAGACTCAACTTATCGTGCTAGTGATTTGATTTGATGGTTTGACCTCGTAATTTGAGTAACTTGTACTAGGGACTTGCGAGCACGAGTGGGTTTGCTACCGGGGTACAGCTCTAATGGTGACTCTCCATTAGTTCTGTGATTGTAGAATTTGTTTCTTTGGTTTCCATGTTTCTACAGTTGAGTCCACTTACAAGGAGTCCTTAAGTAACGAGAAGTCTGTTATAAAGACACATTCTAAAACCCTGTTTTTTTCCCTTCTATATCTTTGTATATAAAATACTGCTACAGTGGAATCCTGTTATAACGAGAGGGAGGGGACCAGAGCAAAATGTCCGTTATAGCAGGATTCTTGCTATAAGGGATCCAGTAATAAATTCAAGGGAAACTGTAAAGTAGGCCTAATCTATGAGTTTGTTGTTCTGTTTTTCCTTTTGCTATCTCCCCTGATGATGATTTGTTTCAACATGACCTCTAGGTCTTACTTGATCAAAAATCAAATCAGGTTTCTTTCTCTAGCGCTAGATCTAGCGATGTGGACTGACAGCTTGGCGTTGGCGATCAGAAAGAAAGGGCTCTGGGCTAACTCGCCCGCTGTGTTTTCCCCCACCCCACCCCACCCCACCCTGTTGTGCATTCTGTCTGCTTGCGCACGTCACACATTCGCTTCATCCATCACATTGCTGTGACCTCTCCATCCCTGCATCGGAGAAGTGAGAGGCATGGTAGGCCTTGATAATCTAAACTAGGCTTATGCTGGCCTATCACGCGATGCGTTCTGCTTGTCTCAATTGTCTGCGAATGCCGCACCCTCCCTACTCAGTTGCTCTGGCCTTCATTGTTGACGCACATGGGCTCTCCTATTCTTTGTTTTGCTAGATCACCAACAAGTTTCTCAAACTGGCGAGCTTTTGCATTATGTATAATTGGCCCATGCGCTGCGCACAGCAGCAGCAATATTCCGCTATATAACCGACTCGCATGTTTGTCTGATAGCGCTATAGCAGTATTTTATTTACAAAGGTAAAGAGGAGAAAAAAAACGGGGTTTTAGAATAGTGCCTTTATAACAGACTTCTCGTTTTTTCCGGACTCGTTATAAGTGGACTCCACTGTATTTCCCTTAAATTTATTACTGGATCCCTTATGATATAACGAAAATCCTGCTAGAACGGATATTTCGCACCAGTCCCCTCCCTCTCGTTATAACAGGATTCCACTGTGCTAATTTCCTGTTTGGCTGATCGGGGCACATTCTTTTGGTTCTTTCGTGTAGCTCCTGGGGTCATTTTGTACCCCCTGGGTTGTATTCTTCACATTTTAGAATAGGCCTACTTGTAGTACGAAGATCTCTTTGAAACTTTCAGCATTTCTCAAAAAATCATTTTGACAGACTATACGAATCGGATGGTCTTTATTTCTCCTTGTTCTTTATGCTCTCCTCTTGGCTTTTTATGGTTAGACTTTGGTCAAGTTTGAGTCCTAGGTATGTTGGTTGTTCTTCAACTGTGATCTTCACTGACTCACTATCAGTCTTGCAAGCAATAGAAAATGATCACCATGTAAACGAAGACTTGACACATATACTGTTTGGCTCCCATCATCTGATAACATTCTGTGGCGTCAACCTAGTGATGCAGTGGATTCCCGGACACTCAAACATACCTGGAAATGACAGAGCAGACACACTCGCCAAAAGGGGATCTAGACAGGAACAACCCAACATTCCAACTTCATACCACACTGCAAAACAAATCATTAAAAGCAACAGCAAACAAGATTGGATGAACAGATGGGCCTTGGGAAAGACAGGCAGAGCAGTTTTCAAACATATGACTACAACAAAACGAAATGACAATATCAACCACCTTCAGAGAAAGAAACAGACCACGATCTTCCGCCTATGAACAGAACATATACAGCTCAACTTTCACTTGAACAGAATAAAACCAGAACTTCCCCCAATGTGTCCTTTGTGTGACTATGCATATGAGACAGTGGAACATCACCTTTTCCACTGTACAGCCCTAAATGACATCAGAGCTACCCTTCTCCCTCCGAGACCTAACTTCGACAACACACTCTACGGAACATTACAGCAACTGCAGCAAACCTGCACTTATCACTACATGGCATTGGACAGAAGGGCGAGAGCCCAGATGTTGCTGGATCGATAACAACAACAACAACAACAACTTCTTTGGGGAAATTTTCATAATTTCCTATCTTCAGTTGTAGCACCTGTAGTGGTTGCAGTAGTAGCATTTTTGTGTGAAGTGCAAAGCATTACGTGTGATGCATGTATGTATGTGTAATTTTGTTTAAAAGTAAATGGTAAACCCTGTTCAAAAAGTGTATCACATTATAAATCATGCCACTTACATGATAAGGGACAGCTGTCTACTATCAGTTTTAATGGAACAAACTTATGGAAATAATGTTGTGTGTATCAACCTGTTACTAGTTACATGTATTTGTTATACCATGTTCTAGGGTAATGAGAACACCACAAGCTCAAACAACACCCAGGGGTGAATGTTGATTTACTATGGCAACACTTTTTGATACATACCAGCATAGTTTCACACTTTCAAAAGTGAATGATAATAGTGATTGTGGAAAACAGCCTCCTGTTTTTAATTATGACAAATGAAAAAGGAGATATCTTGGCTACCAGCAGGGTACAGTACACTGATGAAGAGAGATCTCAACGTCGACCTCAACTGTGTGGGATACATGCTAGTTAATTTAATTTAATTAAGCCCTTGAAGGTTTCCGTTTACCCTTTCTTCAGCACATGGTTTGCTATTCAATAATATTGTGAAGGCACGAAAGTATAACCCAGACAAACAGAACAAAGGACAGTAAAGTAAGACTATTCATAGAGAGAAAAGGAGAGAAAAGGACATAAATTCAGACACCATTTGGAATTTTGAACATCTCTGTTCTGATAATAATTAAAAATGAATCAGTTGTCGGCCAGAAGTGCATTCATTAGAGCAACTGACACATCATACACAACTATTGTCCTGCCAGTGCCACAGTGCGCTGACTTTCAGGTACTTTATACTTTATGTCGTATACGGACCAGTCTGTCCAGTAATAGGGTAGAAATGAATTCTTAATTTTGCCCAGATTCCAATTCCCCAAAAAGCACACGAGATAACTGAGTTGTTTTTTTGGGGTCTTTTTTGTCCTCTGAAAATACTGTTGCTAGATTCCATTTTTTCTGCACGAGCAAGGAAAAAAACCAGTACAGTAGTCTCCACCCAAGATCCCAGTGCTCCGGAGCAAGGAAAATGTGGGATCTTAGCCGATGCACCAAGAGAAAAATCCACTGTGACCCTTAGTTCCACAACTGGTAAAATGGTCTCCCTTTACACTAAAATGAACTGACGTGACCCCAAAGTGGGTTATGACTTATGGCGAACAAAGAGTGGTCAGCTGAGATGACCAATCACAGTGGCATGAGGCATGCCATTTTCACTTATTGCGAGTCTCAAGATCTTATCCGGTTGTTCCTCCCCTCTACCTGTCCAAAATTTATAGTTTTCCATCTTTGACCGAGTTCCCCCTACTTTGTCGCTACTCACCATTGGGCTGGGTTTTGACCATACCAATTAAAATTTAGTGTGTCTCACTAATTCAGGAGCAGAAACAACTACAAATGTACTGAAATGGTCAGGGAAGAGTTCACAGTTTGATGTGATCCCGCCTGGAGCGAACTTGTAGGCCCTATCCACCCAGTGTGCTGCGATGTAAGTTTAGGTGGATAGCTCATATTTTAGTACGATGGTTGGGGAAAAACAAACACCTCGACAATTCCCACCATGGTGTGATCCCATCACAGGCAAACATTGTACTGTTGCATCAAGATTTACAATAGACATGCTATCACATTCACGAGAGTGACTGATCTGTGACAGGACAGTCAGTTCAAGTTCAATGAGAGCAAATTTTCACTCTTGGTTGATCTTTTGTGCCGCCTGGGTTTTGTACTGTAAATTATGATCTGAAATGTGGGATCTTAGCTGAATGTAAACCTTCAGAGTGGGATCTCAGAAAGCCTACAAAAGACCATGGTTGGACAGCAGGAATGGAGAAAATTTTAGAGAAAAAAATATTCTGTCGTTGTCAGGTTACGGACCGGGACCTATTAAATGAGAGGCAAACACATTAACCTCTAGACCACGAGAGCTATCGGGTGAATATTTATCGAGTACTATATATCAAGTCCTTCTGCTAGGATGTTGTATCCCTCTCAGCCGAGGATGGCCCTGACAGGCAGGATCGTAGCTCATCTCCTAAATGATCTAAATTGTATCAAAAGGGGCATAAAATCACATAAATTAACTGTGTTCCGTTTAATAAAACCCCACTGTAACTACAATATATAATACAAGCCACCTGGCAGAGTGAATCATTCCATGTTGCATGTTTTCGCTCAATACTATGATGCAACAAGGCAGATTGATTGACTAGACTGACATCCTAAGAAACTCTGCAATCAAAATTAAGAGAAAGAGCCAAAAGATAAATGCTTGAATTTCAACATACTGATTTGTAATTTGTAATGGTATTTATTTGAGGGACATGCAATCCAACAAAAAATGACATGTTACTATTTACAATAATGTATCAACAGTTATTGACTTTTCTCTGTGTCCTCCTCCTGTAAATGCTCCTCTGTATCGTTTGTCGCTGCTTCCATCTTTTTTCTGTTTCGTTTCGCGATAGTGTAGCTCATTGGGAAAACTGGCAGTAATCCTCCAAGACCTGAAATATGAGGAGATTGACTGTTATTATGACTTACAGAGCTTGCCACTAAAACTGTCACCAAGTATTGGCCAAGGGAAAATTGCAGGCAAAAGGAGGAGTAGATCAATAAAATCTTATCATAGTCATAGAACATGGCAATTTGGACAGAGCAATCGAAGGCTCATGATCCAAATGACCAGTGAAGATAGAGCAAATTGAGACCACTGACATAGCATGCATTGGCAGAGACCTTCAATGATAAAGAAGCTGGAAGTTGAAATTGCCTCTGCAGACTGATGTGGTGTATCATGTATGGACCATGGACAAACCAAATGTTTTGCAACTATCGAAAACACTTCGGTCTGAGTTTGATCATATTATGGTTTAGCAATAAAACCCCCAAGATGCTTCATTTGACTCACTGCTATGCATGTGGTGGAAAGTCTCCCTTTACTCTGTGTTGATACTGGTCCACTATGTCCATCTAAAATGTACTGAAACTAAAAGTAATGGAAGTTCAGTTCACCTCTCTATAGATAGTGCTTGTCAGTGTACCAGTACTCACTGTTACTTTTGAAACACCCCAGAGGTGGGATGTAGAGAAGGGCTAAAGGGCTTGATTCCCCCCAGTACTCTTTCCCTATTAGAAGTAAATGAATGTTTCTTAATTAATTTACCCCTTCCTCAGAGATAAAGAGTTTAAGTTTATCTGATTTCATAACATTTTGCCCAGGCTCATTTCTAAAGGTTCATTTTTATCTTGGGCAACTCATATTGTACAATGGAAACCTGATATAACAGGAATGGTGGGACTGCAGGAGAAGTCCTGTCATATCAGATCCCTGTTAAATAAAAAAGCAAGGGAAGTCAGCATTTGTGGATAAATTCAGCTGTATTTATTCATGGGTAGTATCCCTTGACACAAGTACCCTGTGCATGACACATTACGAGTGCGTGTAGCTAGGCTTAGGGCTACATCGAAGTCTGCAGCACACCGCAGCCCTCTCTTGTTTCACCTGCTGCATGTGCTTGCTCCATCACTGCGTTACTCTCTCTCTCTTACTTTTTACACATTGTTAACGAACCTTTGTTCCTGCTATAACCGATTGGGCTCCGATGAGGCCCTGTTATTGCCGATAACTTTTAATAATAGACACAAAGTAGGAAAAAAACGGGGAGTAAAAAAATCCCTGTTATTACCAGATCCCTTTTATTACGGGGCCTGTTATATTATTATGGTTTCCACTGTAGACTGTAGATGTAACATTAATGTGTCAGATGATGCAGAATTTATTTAGCTTAAAACTGATGCTGCATGAGTGGGTATTACAAGCCTCAAACATGACATTTTCAAGTTCCTTTTGGATGCCATTGTATAAATTTATAAATAACTCCCTTACTTAAACTTTTTCTCTAACAGCAACCTTCATTGCTGCACTTAATTGTCTGACAAATTTTTGTTGCCAATTCAAAAAGACTGAGACAGGCCAATAATTTCATGTGTGTGCATCCCTCCTCTCTTTTATCTCTATCTCTCCACAAAACTTGCTTGGGCCAAACATGCACTACAAGAGTACAGGAGCCCAGTTCTTACGGTACCAAAGATCGAGCAACGCGAGGCGCACACTACACACCAGCGCAAACTTTGTTGCAGCATCCTTGTAAGGCCTGTTTACGGCTGCTTGCTGGGGAAAATGTCTAGCGAGTTGATTATGGCAAGCTCATGGACCTCCTGATGGAAATGGATGTTGACCCCTGGTGGGTACAATGGATTCCAAGGCTCTGTTTGAGAGGAAGGTGGCGATGGATGTCAGACCAAATAGTGATTGCCTCAGGACTGCCACAAGGATCAGCCTTATCACCGGTCCTGTTCAACATACATCCAAAATTGCCAGGATCAGTGTAAGCGGAGCAGGAAGAATCCTAACCTTTGCAGATGTGATGGTCTACGGACGAGGTCATGATAGGCTAGCGGTTGGACGGATGCTACAGGACAGGCTCAGCATGGTCGCAGATTGATGTGAGGAATACAATGTGGCCATCGGTCCAGGCAAAGCACAGGTCATCTGGTGCTCACTCAACAACCGTATTGTGAAAGATCCTACCCCTCCAATTGTGTTTGAATACTTTCTCGTAGACAGACAGTATGAGTTGGAGTACCTGGGAATCACTCTGGAAAGGACACTTTCTTTTCGAAAACATATTGACAATGTTGCTGTCAGGGCTCAGAAGGGCATTAACGTAGTGAAGACCTTGGCTTCAGTGGGAGTTCTTTTTCTCCTAATGCAGCTGGTGGTTCTGTCAGTCATAGACTATGGTCTGGGCATCCTCTCCTTGTCCAAGACTCAGATAGACAGGACGGAGAGAGTACAGAATGCAGCTATGAAGGCAGTCTTGGGTTGCACAAAGGACACCCATGTTGTCTGTATGAGATATATCCTGGACCTGGTCAGCATCAGAGTGAGCCATAAGGTGGCACAGGCAAAGCTGTACTTGAATGTTTTGGGAGACCCTATGCAACCTCTGCATGACAATCTGAGCAGCATCAAAAGAAATAGAGTCAAATGGGGCAGCTCATGAATGGCAAAAGTTGAAAACTCCTTGAGGAAAGTTTGTGGCATCGATGAAATATGCAGTGGAAAGGAATGGTTTGAACACAGCCCCGATTGCAGAAGCCTGGCCAACGTTCACATCACTAGGCTGTCGTACCAAGGCAGACCGACGCATCTGCAAAATTGTTAATTTTTGCATCTTCATTTAAATGGACGCCTATACTAGTGGTGGGCAAAATTCGGATAACATATCCGGATAACCGAAAAATTCTCAATGAAACGTTTTATCCAAAGACTCTTAAACTCTCTGTCCTGACCCGTTTGTCGAAGTGGTTCTAACCCATTTGCTGAAGCGGTTCATAATGCACTTAATTGCCAAAGAGGTGCACTTACATATTATCCTAATTTTGCTAAAGCGACTCATTGTCCAGCCCTAGCCTATACCCATTCTGCATCATGTGTTAAAGGCTGGAAGACGTACTGCACTACAAATACGATATATTTCACTGTGGCAAACAGACGTAACTGAAGGGCCATGCCCATATTTCCATTGGCAGCGTGACGTAACTGAAAATCATAAAAAGTGCAGATACGTCGCTCTGCCTTGGCACAGCAGTATGGGTCGTGAAAGACGGGAATGTGCTGCTGTCATTAACGACAATGACATTATATGACAGTTAATTGATGAGCACTCTTAAGCCAGAGAACCCAGTGATCTACATGGATGGATTGGTCAGGAGGGGTGAGAGAAGTGGGTGGGGTTTTCTGGTGTACAATGGGAACAAACAGGTTTATATAGCATGTCAGGGGTCACAGAAAGATAAACTTCAAGCATGAAAATGGAGATTGAGGCCGTAACAAGAGCGCTAGGCTGGTTTCAAAATACCCAAGAACTACCCATCTCATTATTGTTACAGACTCCCAGAGCATCCTGCGAAGGGTTGAGAAAGGGCTGCTTCAGAGTGAATGGATGAACCCAATACAACACTCATCACTTAGAGCCATCGCATGGATATTCTGTCCTGGGCACTCTGGAGTGAAGGGCAATGAGGAGGTTGACAGGCTGGCAGGCAGTGCTGTGGTTGATGGTGAGGTGAAATTTGACAAAGGAGAAGTGTTGAAGACCCTGGAGGAAAAGTTGCGGGATGAGGAAGACTGGGAGACAGCAGAACACCAAGCAATCATCAGGATGAGGGAAATGGGGATAGAGAGGGGAGAAGGAAGAAAGGAACGATTATCTAGAAAGGAAAGACGTTGCTATAATCAGACAGCCACTGGAACAATCAGTCCAGTGTGCAATTACGTTGTTGCCCAGGACAGGTAATACAGGTAAAATAATACACTGTGCTCCCCTTCCCTTTGAAAATTCAGTTAGCAGCAATACCTCCCCCTCTTTTTCACCAAGCAGCAACCAAGGCCTACTTCCCCAAGGGGTTGCTAACTGTAAGGCGGAAAGCATTGTACTTATAAATCAAGTGCTCTCTTGCACATGTTTATTCGGCAGTTGTAGTTGTTCACGGATCTACGTTTTCAGACCATAAGAATGCAACTCTCTCTCTTGCCCTTTTTAACTCCCAGTGGAGCACAGGCCATCAACAGCATTACTCCAGAGAAGCCTGTCCTGAGCATCCTTTTCTATCTGTTTCAATGATGTCCCCGCTTTTATAAGAATGCATGCCGGTAGTAAAATTATAATTAAATAATTTAACTGAGATTAGGAAGCTAAGCATTACATCATTACATTACAGGACCAGTGTCTATGATGGTGTAATGGTCAGGTGCTTCGCTGTCACATTTAGAAGACCGGTGTTTAATTCCCAAAAGTGGAGAATTTTTATTGAGTAGCTCTGCCTTTCTGCAGGAATGCTGGAATTCTCTCTGTCAAGGCTGGCCTTAAAGGCTGGATCAGGGGCCCGCCTTATAAAGGGTCTAAATTGTGTTGATGGGGGTGTAAAATCACATGCGTTAAAAACATTTAAAAATTATGAAATACTGGAATGAAAAAAGGGTATGAGTAGAGAGAGTTCAATTTATAAACTCATCAAACCACCCCACCTCATCCCCTGCCAAAAACTTTTGTGTTCCGACAATGTAAAGATCATAATGACTAAATGCCCTCAACATTTTACTCACTGCTTCCTTTATGAAATTGTTGTAAAAAAGAAACCAAGATGGGTGGTTACAGAAGAAGGATAAAAAAAAGGATCTCCAATCCCAGTCATTTGTGCACACTAAAATCCAATTTTGTACAGTACCGGTATTTAAAGTTGGCTTACCTAATAATTTTTCTACAGGCTTGCTGAGAGCAACGTTGTTAGCAAGGTGGTATTTTATTCGTTCGATGTCCAGGGAAACAAGTTTTTCATTGTGAATGTTTGGCATGGAATCAAATGTTCCCAACTGTTCAAAAGGAGGTGCATCTCGAGGTCTTGTGTTTTTTGTAAGAACGATGTGATAAAAGGGTCTGTTTGTGCAGCCATGTAATGCCAAGCGGATGATATCAAATGATTTCCGTTGTGGGAGCCGGGGCATCCTTCAATTGATCTGAAATATTAAGCATTAGAAAAAAATTAATCCAAAGAAGAAGAGATTGTAACAGCCATAAACTCAAAACTCTATCATTTTTCAGTTGTTATGAGCAATTTATTCATTGGACTTTGACAATTGAGTCAATCATGTTAGTCACTTAAGATATATTTGGGTGAGAAAGTACAGTAGGCTTCAAATACACATGTCATTTAACTCATAAACTTTACATATGGCAGTGTTTTTTCTTTATTTTAAAACAAAACTTCAGGAAGGCCTACAACAGCAAATCAAAGAGTTAAGTAATTATTAGAAACACCAGAAGGCTAACCAGGCAACAGGCTATAGGAAAGACGGAGTGGGTAATAGGAAATGAAAAGCAAAATCAAAGAGAGAGAGAGAGAGAGAGAGAGAGAGAGAGAGAGAGAGAGAGAGAGAGAGAGAGAGAGAGAGAGAGAGGGAGAGAGAGAAAGAGAGAGAGAGAGGGAGAGGAGAGACCAAGAGAGAGATACAGAGAGAGAAGGGGGAGGGAGGGAGAGAGAGAGAAAGAGAGAGAGAGAGGGAGAGGAGAGACCAAGAGAGAGATACAGAGAGAGAGAAGGGGGAGGGAGGGAGAGAGAGAGAAAGAGAGAGAGGATGGGGAGGGAGAGAGAGAGAAAGAGAGAGGGAGGGGGAGGGAGATAGAGAGACTCTGAGAGAGAGAAAGAGAGAGACTCTGAGAGAGAGAGAGAGAAAGGGGGGGGGGGGGGTAGAGGCCTGCTGTTTTCCCCTGCATCAGCCTAGTCTTCACCTCCTAAGGAGATGCCTCAAGTTTAATGTTTAAAGTAAAGACGTAGGCCTAAATCTACTAGATCTAGAATCTAGTCTCTAGATTAGTATATTTAACTTTTAAGTTTTAAAAGTTTTGATACCAAGTCGACAAATCTACAGGCCACAACAATATCTAGAATCTATATCTAGATCTATATCTAGATCTATTATAATCTACATCTATATATCAAGATGATCTCTAGGTTATTCTAGGCCTACCGAACGAACAACAACACAACCAGTGTCCACAGCCTGTAGACCATGCCAAGACAAAGCATGGATTGAAAAAAGGCACACTAAAATTAAAACAAAAAATACTTAAAATAGGACCAGCGGGTATACTTTTCAGTGCCGTCGTTGTTGCCCTGAATTGCTAGACTGGACTGGTTCCACTGTTCCACCTTCATTCAACTTTCACTATTTCAGAAGACCTTTTTCTTTACATTCTTGGAGTGGGAGTAGCTTCCCTTCAATTTTCATCTGCCAATTAAGAATTTATGTGAAAGCGGTCACTCAATTAATTTCCTTTTATTTCAAACACAAATAACAGACGAATTCGTTGTTCTGTTGTGTATATTTATTGAATATAACACATTTAGTAAAATGAGATTCATCTATTTTAATTAAACTGCTAAAAACAAGCATTCAAATCAAAGTTAAAATATTAAATAACAACCAATAAAATCCTGGCATACTAAGACGAATAGTGTCGAATCACTCGGGAGTCAACGAAATCTCTATTGTTATTGGAATTTACAGAGGACTGTCGCAGAAGTATTTAACAAAAACATGTCATCACTAGAAGACAAATCTATTTGGGATGATGGGGAGGTAAAGTTTATTGTATTTACCTGTGGGTTTTACACAAAGCAATAATTAAATGCCGGCTTGTTATGCCAACACTGCTGTGGTTGTTGATGCCAAGCATATTATCGATAAATGGTTGAACGAAGGAACTAACGTCATAGTGTATGAAGTAGGCCTCAGGCTTAGTGCCTTAGTCTAGACATCTAGTTTTGTTGTAATTAGATCTAGATTTCCAGAAGAAAGTTTGTACAGTAAGTACTAAACAGTGACCTATGCTAAATGTCTAGGTTTGTTTGATCAATGTTTTATTGTTACTTGGCCACCTCTATTCTCACCCTGGGCCCTGGGTGAGAATAAGTGCAGGCGAGTCTTTTGGCTTCTATTCTCACCCGGTGCGCGTTCACCGTTATAGCCTAGATCTAGGCCAACAAATTTTGCGTTGACCCTAAACCACAGAATTCTACACTGTGATAACAGAAAAATTGTAGAATTCTGTGCCGTGAACAAACGTTCCATTACAACTGTAGCCTACTAAAAGTAAAAGCGTACAATTTTGTCTGTGGGCAGTGGAGAGAGAGAGAGAGAAAGAGAGAGAGGAGTAGCGCGAGAACTTCTGGTTAAAACAAAATGGCGACCCGCGTAGTTCGGCTCGATTCGAAAAGTTAAATAGCCGTAACATCTTTGTAGCATAGCTGCCACTTTCCCGCTATATAGCGGAAGGGAGTGGCTATTCTCATCCGGGGTGAGAATAGAAAAACGATCTACCTCTCACCCCGGGTGAGACTTGCGACCGTAGGCTATTCTCACCCGGTTTGAAACAGGACCTGTTTTTCCTCATTTCGGAATACTTTCTATCGATGTGGATGATCAAATTCATAAAAGCCAAGAAAAAATTACGCTTAGCACAAAAGTAAGCTAATTTGATCGTCTTCAAAGATGCTATGGCTATTTCACTGTTCGAATCGAGACGAACTACGCGGGTCGCCATTTTGTTTTGCCCGGAAGTTCTCGCAAGATCTACTCCTCCCCTCTCTCTCTCTCTCTGTCTCTTTCTGAATACTGTCTATCGGTGTGGACGATCAAATTGACCAAAACAAAGTTAAAAAATGATGTTAAAACACAAAAGTAAATTAATTTGGTTGTCTACAAAGATGCTACGGCTATTTAACTTTTCGAATCGAGCCGAAGTACGCGGTTCGCTATTTTGTTTTGACCGGAAGTTCTCGCGCTACTCCTCTCTCGTCTTCTCTCTTTCTCTCTCTCTCCACTGCCCACAGACAAAATTGTACGCTTTTAGTAGGCTACAGTTGTAATGGAACGTTTGTTCACGGCACAGAATTCTACAATTTTTCTGTTATCACAGTGTAGAATTCTGTGGTTTAGGGTGAACGCAAAATTTGTTGGCCTAGATCTAGGCTATAACGGTGAACGCGCACCGGGTGAGAATAGCCAAAAGACTCGCCTGCACTATTCTCACCCAGGGTGAGAATAGAGGTGGCCATAGCGGAAACTCCGCTTCATCTAGCTTTTCCTGCTACTTTCCGTTCTTCTAGGCCGAGCGTTAGTTTCACTTTGTTTATTGTGGAGCAACAAAGTGTCGATCTGGCATCGGGACGTTAGCGCGCCGAGTTGTCATTGAAAATGGCGGAAATTCGAGAGAAGTTGATGCAGAATGCAAAAATAATTATAAGGAGCTCCGCTTGCTGCACTTTGCGTTTGGTGCGATAAAGAAATCGCGGCCCGCGGCACTCCTGTACAATTGCGGTCCCGTTTGTTTACATGACGGCTATTGTCTATTGTGGCTGTTGAAGTGAATTTAGATCTAGATCTAGATAATCTATCTCTAGATCTAGATATAATCTAGATTTACACATATTTAGATATCTAGATCTAGATTAGATAGCCTAGGCTGTAATTTTAATTCAGGTTAGATCTACACTCTACAGAGGGACTATACTAAGTTAAGTGCAAACGGGACCGCAATTGTACAGGAGTGCTCAGTACAGCGGCAAAGGTGTTGCCTCCTTGATCCAATACTGCGCGCGCTCTACATCGATGTACAAGTTTAAAGAGAAAGAAATCTTTTTATAAGACACCAGCTTGCAACAAACTCTGGATTTTTAGTCACCAAGTCCAAACTGTGTCAAATTGACTCAAATGCTTGTTAGTCTACTTAGTGCCTTTGTTGGGTTGTTGTTGTTGTTTTTTTTTCAAATATATTTTAATTCAGTTGCCTATGGTTAACAAATATGACAGTTTTCCCTTCCAAAACCATAGGCTACATTTTCCAGTATATATTGCCTCTGGATCTCACTGGTTTTACTCCAGCCTTCGGAGAGCACGCGTCCGCGTTCGCATGAATTTCCTCCTTTTTTGAAATTCCTGAGTGGCAGCTATGTTGTAGACAACCAAATTAATTTACTTTTGTGTTTTAACATCATTTTTAACTTTGTTTTGGTCAATTTGATCGTCCACACCGATAGACAGTATTCAGAAAGAGACAGAGAGAGAGGGGAGGAGTAGATCTTGCGAGAACTTCCGGGCAAAACAACATGGCGACCCGCGTAGTTCGGCTCGATTCGAACAGTGAAATAGCCATAGCATCTTTGAAGACGATCAAATTAGCTTACTTTTGTGAATTTTTTCTTGGCTTTTATCAATTTGATCATCCACATCGATAGAAAGTATTCCGAAATGAGGAAAAACAGGTCTTGTTTCAAACCGGGTGAGAATAGCATACGGTCGCAAGTCTCACCCGGGGTGAGAGGTAGATCGTTTTTCTATTCTCACCCCGGACGAGAATAGCCACTTCCTTGTTACTTAGTGTTTTGTTGTAATCTTAGGACCTGAGTTAAATCAAGCCAGTATATATTCTCTTTTGAAGTGTAGGCTATACAGACCCAGTAACCGGGAACTAAGTCACGAAAAGTATACAGACCCGGTAGGGGAACTCCTGGTGATCTTATACTTTAGCCTTTTGCACGTT